CGCCCGCCGGGGGCCGCCCCGGGCCGCCTGCGATGAGTCCCGGGGATGCCCGAGGGGCAGCCGCTGAGGCCGCCGAAGGGTTCAGGCCAGCGGAGTTCGGTGGATTATCCAGCTGCAGCAGTGATGAGAAGGAGAAGATTTTTAGCGTGGATATGGAAAAAAGCAGCAGCAGCTTGTGCTTGTTTTATTTGGATGAGGAGGAAATGTTTGATATGCCAAGGTTGATTGATAACATGGCTCAAGGGCTTCTTCTTTCTCCACCTCAATGCTCAGCTGGCTACTTGAACTGGGATGACATGGAAACGGAAGCTGATGCCAAACTATGGAGTTTCTCTATCTGATTGATGTTTTTTTTCAGTCAATCATGTATTTGTTTGTGTCTTTTTCGTCGGATTCATCTCTATTTATTTGTTCATGTGTGAGTCGCCGACAAAGATTGTAGGGGTTTTTTTTTCTTGTTACAATCTTTAGAGTTTTGGTGTGTATTTTATTCGATTCATATGTATTTATTTGTTCATGCTTGAGTCGAACATATTTGTAAATTAGAGCATGTCACTGTGGCTCTAATAGATATTTAGTTTTGTTATAGATATTTAGCTTCTTTTTTTATGGTTCGAAAGATATTTAGGATGCACAAAGTCTTCTCTGAGCCAAAAAAAAAACATGTACAAAAGTTTTCTTGATTTGGAATTATTGAATATAAAAAGCATCTAATGTGTGATAGAGAAAGTTTTGACTCTTTGCATTCAGTTATGTGTGTTTGTCCCACCAACCGATACGTGTCACTTGCTCAGTCCTTGTATTCTAACTTACGTGGACAGCGGTCCTCCTCTCAGTTGAGTTGCTTTCTCTTTCCTTTGTTCCCTTGCCCCTTGGGTATTCACTTTTTTTGTTATTTATTTCTGGGGCTAATTGGCCCTGTGGTTGTTTCTTTTTTATTATTGTTGTGGGGTTCTTCTTTGGTTAATTCATTCCTTATTTTAAAATTGGGCTAATTTATTGTAGCACTATCGAAACTATGGTCAAATTCTATATTGCCCTTCGAAAGTCAAAGTGACTAACTATTCCCCTTGATTAAGATTTGGTATTTCACTTAATCCATACCGTCATTTCTTTTGTTAATTTCGTCCATTTTAAAACGTGGCAAGACTATTTTAGTCTTTTAAATACGTAGCTGAAAAGCTATAACATCAGGACCGCTGCCGAAGAAGGATGACAAATCTTTTGACAATTATGTAGACCACAATGCTCCTAATGTTGATCCAAATGCTCCTACCGCTTGGTTCTTTTGGCACCGTCATTGAGGTAGAATATTCGCACTCATTCCAAGATTTTAAATTCTCTGTTTCAACTTCCTTATTAAGACTCGAATCTAATGCCCGAACCTCATTGTTTGTCTGCCTCTCTCAATCGATTTGAAGATGAAAACCCTAAATCCTAAAATGTTAACTTTAAGCATTTTCCTCTATTTTAACTTTATTTTCCACAATTTGAACTAGGGTAGTAAGCTCGTGCCAGACTCGATGATTTTCATAAATGAACGGATTGAATTCGGCTTGTTTATTAAAATGGGCCAACCGTCCAGCCTGTTTGACACCTCTACTTGGATGTTTCACTTTGTTGGCTTCCTTGTTCCTGTTGGTTATGACCGGTGCGAGTCTTCAATTTGTTTTTGGTGGTTGCTATTTTTGGGGTTTAACTCTGTTGTTTTTTCTGATTTCTTTTTTATTATTATTTGGTGTGGGTAACTTCTTTAAAATCCACATCTCTTGTTGTCTTATCCACTTGTAGATTCCTATAATATGGGTGGTCCATCTTTGTCATGTGCAAAGTTTGGATAAACAAAATATTGTGGAATATGATCATGGGATTGTGGAATATATCTCATTCAAGTAGCAGGCATGTTTTTAAGGGTTTTTACAGAGAGACTCATTCTAACATGAAATATTATGCAAAAGTTCTTATAAAGTCTATTCGGAGATTTTTTTTAAATCCAAAAACTAACCGCTTGTTATTTATTCGTTTCTCTTTTGAAATAGTAAATTTATTCTTTTGGTTTATGATCTCGTCAAATAAGGTTTCGAAATAGTATTTTGTCTCATTTTTGTCCATTTTCCATTTGGAAAGTATCCTATGATGTTTGCTTGTAATATATTCCAAAAAATAATAAGAGAGTTGAATTAGACATAACCCCAAAAGCAGTTGCCTCCATGGGCGACACCCCACGTCATTTCTGTTTTTAACTTTAGATGCCAATTTAGTAATAAAGATCACTTGTACCAAGCACCAGCTTTATATAGTAAGTTCAGTTCATGTTTATCTGCCACCTGGCATTTTAATTGCCAAACTTTCTCTCGCTCCAATCGCCTTTGTCTGTTTTTTGTGGGAACTTGCCACTCCTCCGAACACTCTCGTGTTCACGTGTCCACTCTTGGGCCCCACCTGCCCCCCAATCCCTATTTATAGAATCCCCCTCTCCCTCATTCTCAGAAACACCACTCAAATATACAGCTCAGCTCACTCTCATGGACACGATCTTCTCTCAGCTTTCTGACTCGGCCGACCAGCCCAAGTCGAGTTCGTCATCCGACGCAAGCGTGACCACCCTACGCACTTCGGACGTCATACTGGCGTCGAGCAGGCCGAAGAAGCGCGCGGGAAGGAGGGTTTTCAAAGAGACGAGGCATCCGGTTTATAGGGGTGTGAGGAGTAGGGACAACAACAAGTGGGTGTGTGAGTTGAGACAGCCCAACAAGAAGAAGTCCGGGATTTGGCTCGGGACCTATCCTACGGCTGAGATGGCTGCTCGTGCCCATGACGTGGCGGCATTGGCTTTTAAAGGGAAGCTTGCCTGCCTCAACTTTGCTGACTCCGGTTGGAGGCTGCCGGTGGCGGCATCCATGGACTCCATGGATATCCAGAGGGCAGCTGACGAGGGCGCCGGAGGGGTGCGGGCCGCGGGGCTGCCGGTGGCGGCATCCATGGACTCCATGGATATCCAGAGGGCAGCTGCGGAGGCCGCTGAAGGGTTCAGGCCAGTGGAGTTCGGTGGAGTTTCCAGCGACAGCAGTGATGAGAAGGAGAGAACGGTTGTGGTGGAAGAGAAGAAGAAGAAGCAGGCTATTGTAGATATGGGAAAAAGCTGCAGCAGATTAAACTTGTTTTATTCGGATGAGGAGGAAATGTTTGATATGCCAAGGTTGATTGACGACATGGCTGAAGGGCTTCTTCTTTCTCCACCCCAATGCTTAGCTGGCTACTTGAATTGGGATGACATGGAAACTGAATCTGATCCCAAGTTGTGGAGTTTCTCTATCTGATTGATGTTTTTGTTTTAGTCAATCTGTCTCTAGGGTTTAGTGTGTCTTTTGTTCGATTCATATGTATTTATTTGTTCATGAGTGAGTCGAACATGAAGATTTTTATTTTTGGAAATATTTGTGTGTTTAGACCATGGTACTGTGCTTTGTCTAGTTTCTAGATATAGATATTTTGGGTGTGTTATAGATATTTTTGGTATGAAAGATATTTAGGTGTGCAAAAGTTTACCTAATTTGGAATTATTGAATATAAAAAGAAAGCATCTAATGTTTGATGGAGAAAGTTTTGCCTCTTTCCAGGGTATGCATGTGTGCTACTTTTGTGAGCTGCCTTCCATTGCCCAACCAATACGTGTCACTTGCTCAGTCCATGTATACCCTTTCTCATTCTCTCAGTTGAGTTGCTTTCTCTTTCCTTTGTTCCCTTGGCTCTTGGCTATTCACTTTTTTTTGTTTTTGGTGCTGTTAATTTTTGTGCTTATTTTTTTTTCTACTGTTGTGGGCTGGGGGTTATTTTTCTTCGGCACAGATTGTTTTCTTCTTTGGTTACTCCATTCTTCTTTGCACACGTATCCACCTTGCAACAGCCGGTCGACATGTCTAAAGCCTTGAGGTATGCTTGGGGCCGGACTGCACTGGATATATCTAATTAAAAAGAACATAGATTCAATTTGTTGTTTTGTGAGTTTAAAATACATTATGGGACATTAGTCAATGGTAACAAGAGCTCCAGAACTCATCCGTAGACATGGTTTTAGAACGAAGCCTTCTCTTTTCTCGTTGAACGTGAGCAACAAGCCTTGTTGACTTCATTGAGGTACTGCACATCAACTATTCTCATCTCATACTTGTACAATAATATGATCCATTACCTGTACCCGTCAGGGATTTTTAAACTTCAGAAATTCCCTTACCTGATTCTCATTTTGCCTCGAAATTACCCTAGTTAGAGTTGGAGATCTGCTAAATATGAAGCATATATCGACATGTATCCGTCAAAAACTGGAGAACACTAAGGATCTTCTAGCAACCAATTAGCCATGTGGTATTTTTCTTGTGAAATTCGAGAGGGATCCCAAATTAGAATTCTTCCACCTAACTTTAGATTATAAAAAAGGTATAAAATAAAAAATATAAAAACTAAAGAAGATTTTTTTTTCATACAAACAATGGAAAGCCCCTACTTGGCACTTCCTTTTCAAATTGTGGTCATTTCAATTATCTTCAAATAAAAGGGGGGTTGGTTTAGTAGGACCAACACTCAACCCCCCCTTAGTTCATTTATAGCGGAGTAAATTGTATCGATATTATCCTCAACTTAATTATTTAAGTCAAATATCCAATATGGTGTTATCAGATTTGTGGACCTAACCAATTATGATGTTTTATCTCAAATATCAATGTAAGACTATTCATATTTTGATCTAACATATGTCATACTCAATTTCATAAAATTTATTGTCACGCTTTCGGACTGTTGGGTCATTAAAAACGATATCTTTAAACTTGTAGGGAAGAGGAAACAGATAGTTGCAAAGAGCTGCAGCTGGCGTGCACAGTAAAGCTCATAAATATCTCCCATTACTATACTCGCACAACACAGCTAAGCTAACTGACCTTTTGGGGGGTGCCTTCAAATTCCTATCAACTCCGACGTAATCATCCTCGCCAAACCAAGCACGCGTGCGTCGACCAATTAAATCAAACCCCCCAACACACACATGCACACCTCATTCTCCAGATTATTTACCCAATCACTCACTGCTTATGTTGTGTCGATTTTCAGTTAGTTAGCCCATCAGTTTTTTTTTTTTGGTCTGAATTAGCCCATCAGTTTTTCAGTACCAAGAAAAGCCACTTTAACTATTTTCCAATTTGACACTCGAAGGTCAAAGTCTTTGCATTCTAATTCTCTCTTTGCCCCATTGTCACAGCCAGAAGCCACATATGATTTGTGTTATGTCATTATTTTTCATGGGGTAGGATTATGATGATTGGTCAAAATTTGTTCTCTTCTAATT